GTTCTTCTGTAACCCTCAGTGTCTGAACAATTAGCTAACCCTGAGCAGTTGTTACAATGTAACCCTTTTCACTGGACCACTATATAAGGATGGAATAAAGAATCCCCATCAGGGGGAACGTTCGCCAGTTACCCAGTGTGTTCGCTAGCCGAAGTTTCGATAACCGGACATTAAATTCTTCAGTTCCCAAAGCTCTGGCTGATCCTATTCTGGAGGAGGATTTCATTTTACCCGCTAATACCGCTCTTCAGTAGCGTAGTGAGGCGGGGGCGGGGGAGGGGGGGCGGACCGCCCCGGGCGGCACTTCCTACGGAGCCTTTAAGGGCGGCATTTCGAGGATTTGCACCCAAAAAAACGGAGTGTTTTCGAGGAAAGTATCTGGCGGGGGGCGGCATTTTCGTCGGGCACGGTGGAAAAACAGGAAAATTCGAATCACCGCCCCGAGCGGCACTCCGGCTCCCTACGCCACTGATTAGGCCTTTCTCAGAATACATTGAAATCGCTTCTGGGCTCATGCGAGGCCAGGCGTTGCGTATTATTGGAATCATGCGGCGGTAGGTATCTTCACTCTTATTCGGCAGCAGAGCGTAGCATGCCGGTAGTACGAGCCCTTCCCTCTCGGCAAAAATGACAACAATCTGATAGAACAAATCCGGAGACAGGCTAAACATAACCTCGACGTAAATATTTCGCCCTAGTCCGATCCATTGAGGGAGAGACTCTCGACCGAATACCAGTATGCGTTTTCTCGTCTCCCTCACCTTTTTTTTTTTTTTTCGTATAGGCGGGTGGAGGAAATCCCTTCGGACGAGCACGCCACCTGGCGTGAACAGTGAGGTGGTTCCTCTAAAACCTCCACCCTCCGCTCTCATTGCCCCTGGAACTGCGCTTGGGCATTACTTCACGGGGCAAAGGAGCCGACTATTATTTAATCTTCCTAGAGCACTTTCTAGTTCTATAGATCTTCGCGGCTCTTCTTGCAGGCGAACTTTGAGTCTTCACCTACAGAGCGAGAATTCACTTGCCCGCCTGAGTTTGGCGCTTGCTTCGGTGTCCTATTGTTGGGGGGATCATAATGTGTGTCGTAGCTAAGGGATCCCAACCCCTCGGCTACCCACCCAGGGCCAGCCACCACCCTGAGGGGCGGAGAGGCCCCCACAAAATTTTCTCCTAGCCGAGCTCACTCGGCGGAGTGACTTCATGGGCTCTCCGGGCAGTTTGCTTCTTCGTCGTGCTTCCGGATTCTTCTTTGTAGTTAGGTCGTAGCGCTGGCCTGCATCGTCGTCGGGGCTGCCTGTTGAGCTGCCTGGCTGGGGGGCCGAGGCATCTCATTCAGGTGTCTTTTCTTCTCAAGTATGCAAGCAAATTTCCGCGAAATGAGGTTCCATCGGTCTTCGGATTTAAGCATCTCAGAGACCAGTTCCGGAATGGAGCCGGGGGGCAAACCCTGCCGCTCCTTGTCGAATTTCGGGCACTCAAGGATTGTATGCTGCACTGTGTCGACCAAGTTGCGGTCGCAGTGACAGCATATCTCCGAGTCCACCTTCTTTATTGAGAACAGGAATTTCCGAAAGTCCCCATGACCTGTCAGTGCCTGGGCGGTAAAGTATGTGAGCTCACCAAACTTTCTGTCTATCCATGGTCTTATGGAGGGAATGCACTGGAAAGTCCATCGGCCGAAGGCCGCGGACTCCCACTCCTCTTGCCACCTCAGCAAAGTCTCCTCCTGGATTTCTTCGTCTTTCATGAACTCCTCTTCCTCGGCGTCGGAGCCACGGGGGGCGTCTCTTTTCAGCTTCGTCCAGTGTAGAGCGTGTCTTTCCCGGGCAAGGAGGTGCCAGGGGGGGGTTCCTGCGAGGACCATGATGGCCGCGGTTGACACCGTCCGATAGCAGCGAGCAATTCTTATTCCACTCACCCTCTGTGCCCTCTCCAGGGTATCTCTGTTCTTCTGATACTTGAGAGCGTTTTCCGACCAGATCGGCGCCGCGTAGAGTGCCACCGACTCAGCTACGGTCGCCAAGACGCGGCGCTGGGGCTCCGAGGCGCCATAGGTTCTCGGGAGAATCTTCGCGATGTCCGACGCTACCTTTGC